TTACTTTAATAAAATGTTCAGCAACGATGACGTTCAAGATATCTATTTTATTCGTTCGTTAGATGTAATAAAAGAGAAGAATAATGGAAATTTGAGATGATATGATAATACGAAGAGTGATTCTCAATATTAATGTAGATCAGAGATTCGCAAATTTGTTATAAATACATATCACCAGATCATCAGAACTTATTTGAGATAAAATCTATATCTTTACTGAGTAGATAGCAAGTAAAAAGTTATAAAAGTTAATTTGCTGCAAATTTCTATCTATAACACGTATGTTGTATTTTACTTCGTGGCAGACAATAAAATTATAACTTAATTGATCATAAAACTAAAGAAATGATACTTTTAAGAGTTGAAATACGTGATCAAATTCTCAAAGTTACGAATTACAACATTACAATTTTCAACTGCCATATCTTTCCAAATTATTCAATCTTCTTTCCAGAGCACCCTGTATATTCTTACAAATCTATCACCTCATCATTTGTTTTTTCTTTCTATGTATTCTACTTTTACACACCAACAGCCACATAGGCATTTCATTCAACGCGATTCTCACAAGTGGATATCAAATAATATATTACCATCCTAACAATTAGTAAGTGCGATTATGTTTCCAGTATTAAAATATCTGCAATTACGGTGACATATACAGTGTGTCGTTTTCCTATGGAGAAGCAACTGTTATCATCGGAAAATTGCAGACAGAAGAAAGACCGTTAACCCTCGGTACCGATTATGGTAAAGTGGAAACACGGATTTTTCACGTGTGAACCATAAGTTTAGAAGAGACGTGACTGAAACTTCGAGACCCTTTATCCACGGGCAAAACTAACTTAGAGAGAGAGAGACAAGCCTCTAACAGGTGTTAGAGGTCGGAGCATTCTGCCCGATAATCACTAGCTAGCTATACCGATGTTCCAACGGCAAATTCTTCCGCGTTTTGCTTTAGGCGAGCATGCTCGTTCGTAAATAGCTGGACAGTAGATAATATACCGCTAGAAAAATTGATAAACGTCGGCCATTGTAGAAACTCGCGTATCATCGTGACAAGACGCTACACAAGGTGACCAATAAATTATAATGCATTTATTACAAAGATGATAGCACTGCAAGATGATACAATAAAATAGACTAAATTTATTTGAATGTAATTATTAACGTTAAATGAATAAATAAATTAACGTAACTGCGAATTTTTTGAGGATGATATAGTACTTTTTGAATAACGATGATGAAAATGCTTGACAAATTATGTCAGGCTTGATAACACATTTATATTATATCTAATATATCACAGTGCACTAACAAATATCGTTACGTGTTTAAACTACAATTTATTAAAACGAAACAAATAGTGGATAAATAAATGATCGAACATATGCTATCATAATCATTGGTAAGTAACAAAAAATGTATCGACGCGTTCTCATTACAAAGAACTTATAAGGACCGAATAGTTCAAAGAACTGCATTCCACTGTCGCACTGGGAGACGTGCGATTCTTAAAACTCGCAATACAGTTATTGGTTGTATATTATAACGTCATGGTACTGTTATTTCAGAAACTAAACAACTTCTTCATTCAACACGACCTATGCTTCTAGTTCTATACAAGTATCTCTATACAAGTAAGTAATAATGATTTCATGTTCGAAACAATATTTTTCATTTATTCGATCATTATCATGATTATCAGTGATCATTATCATGTCGATTATATCGTAATTTAACAAATACTTTGTGCGCAAAGTATTGATATTTAAAAGTCCTCCACAATTAAACGCGTGTAACTCAATTAAAATTATTATTTAATCGCGTCGTGTGTCCACGTTGAAACAACAGCGTGACGGTAAACCTAGATTCGCTCTGCTAAACTTGGTAATTGTTATTCTCGTTTTCTATTTGATAACAGAAACTTTTTTAGACTGGATGCTCGACGTTCGAAGTTTCTCTCTTCTTCACTTTTCTTTCTTAATCAAATTTTGGTAAAATAAAAGGATTTCACCTATCCACACTTTGATGCAGAATTGGAAAAGTGGCTATGTTCTTATATGAACTTCAGAAATTGATTATTTTTTATTATATAAACTCTGGAAATTGACAAAAAGTTTATATAAATGAAAACCAACAAAAGTAAAGTTCGAACAAAAAAATAAGCAAGGATAAGAAGAAGAATGAATACAACAGCATGTAAGAAGGATAGGTCAGTGATTAAAAATCGATCGAAATTACCACGTGCCAAATCATATTACGCGACAAAAAACGAACACGTTTCTAGTTTAGTTCAGCCCGCAAAGAAGAAACCCGTTATGATTGAGGACAGTGTTGTATGAATTTCGAGAGACGTCATTATGGGTACCACTCTTAAAAACTGGACATTGAAAGACTTTCAGAAAGTTCCATAGAACATGGCTATCGTTACATTAAAACTAACGTCGTACGTTAAACACCTTCTGTCGGCGACTTTCGACGTTTACTTTCTCGATCAAGCCTGATCACAAGACACAGCTAGATATTACATTCGTGAACACAATATTACTTTTATTCCAAGCAATAATTGTCTGAGATTCATTTAACTAACCACGTCAATTTGACATTAACTTATTTCGTTACTTAAAATAAATCTAAATTAATCTCAAAGTGCCACTCATATAAAATACTGGTATATAGAGGTACATAACGAACGCGTTCAGCATGACGACACAGTATTCTTATCAGGCATTGAAATCACTGGCGTTGTATATCGTTAGTGACGTTAACATTATAATACATATTGCTAATACAATCATAATAATATTAAAAATATTAATCTTAATATAAGAATATTATATATATAAAGAATATTATAATATTATAATAAACATTATAATAGGAGATTAGTGAATGTTATTACGAATGCATAAAATACATCTTATTAAAATTTCTATTACCTCAATATAGACGCGAACAAAAATTTCAGTTCCTTCTAACAATTATTCAGAATGTTTTATAAACCAAAATCGATATCATATCTATTTTCAACCCTTACTTCTCATATTTTGCAGAGGATTGAATAGAGAATCATGATTTTTTATCAATTCACACAGAATTTTATGAGATAAGTTAGTCTGCGCCAATACTTCTATTCATTACTCTATTTTTTTTATCAATTTTAGGTTAGAAGTTAAGACAAACGAGAAATTCATCGTGATATATCGATCGTTTCGGTACATTGGTTCGATTGTGGCGATCGATCGCGCACGAGTGAACAGAAATTCTGAAAATAAAAGTCGGAGAGAAGCAAGCAAACGGCATATAACGGGAAAAATTCATTCTAGACCGATTATTTTCACTTCCGTGGAAAAGAAAAGGGAAAGTGCACGTCGTTTCAGAACAAGAAACATCGAACATCTGTAATACGTAAAAAGAGATTCTTCATATGATCCGTTAAAATACACTCCGAAGAAGATAATTTTTCATTCATTAAAAACAATTACGAATAATCGTTAAGAATAATTTGAATTACATTTTTTCAAACATTTCCGTCAAATAAATTATCTTTTTATATGCCATATTCTATTATTATCACATTAAATTTATTAATGTAGTGAAGTTAGTTTAGTTTTCAAACCATACAACGATTCGCAGAATTATACGTACAGTCGGGAATTTAAAAAAATGAATGAAATAATAAAATAATAATTTTGTAATGTAGAAACATGTGTATTTAATTTGCGTACGAATAGTTTCGTGGCTCACTGTATGTAGCTAATATCTATGTTCTACAAAATTGTGGCAATATAATAATATATAATATATAATAATAATATATAATAAAATATTTTATTGTCCGCAATGTATGAATGTATAAACTAAATATATAAACTCACTTGACTTTCCGGAGTTACATTCCTGGATGGGATGGAGAGTTCGTGGCATCGTTAAGTGAAATTTCTCGAATTTTTCATAGAACGGAATAATAGTTCACCAGCACTCACGTTTGTAAAATCTATCATGAAGACATTCAAATTAATCGTTGTTCATCCGCGTTATATCACAACGAATTTTCTGTCAGAATTGCTTGACTTCTGTCATTTCGACAACCATCACGAAACATCATATTTTTCTTGAAATTCTCGCTGCTCAATTCATTGTTTAGAACTCGAACGTTACTCTTGATTTACGTTGCTCTTGAAAATTTTCAAATTTGTTAGGTTAATTTATATTTTGCAGCATTACACTTAATTCTTTAACTACTTGAATATATGACTAAAGACATAAATTTTTATTATTTATCTACGCGTTATGAGTTTTGAAGAGCGAAAATAGTAAAGTATCGACTACTTGAGTATATGATGAAGTATAAATTTTTACTGTTTATTTGCACGTTATGGATTGTAAAGAGCAAAAGAAGCAAAGTATCGAAACGTCAAATTGATGCGTGCCACTAACGCACGTGCACTGACTATAGTCAATCAGAAATCACGTGCAAACTATCTCGCGGAGGAACGACCTCCGAGACTACGGCTTCCAATCTCTTGACTACGAATGATCGACCTTCGGATAAATGGCGGCACTCGTGAACGCTCCGTGATCACAAGTGTTGACTACACTGGACTACGATGCTAAGATGAACCAAGTAAAACGGTCCCAGAGTTTAGTTCTAGGTAGGAGGAGCCTACATACTTACTTGCTTTCAATTCTCCTGGATACCTTCTCTCTTGCAACTTCAGAAAGAAAAAGAGTGAGAATATACCTAAGTGTGTGTCGAATATGCATGTGTGCGCGTGAAGGTAAGCTGCGAGTGGATATTATCTTCCTCTTTTTCGAAGGTAAGATAAGGAACGAGAGATTGGAAGTGCAAGAAAGAAAGTTGTAGAAATGATTACGATACAGCAGCGAATATTTCAGAGGCATCCACTTTCGTTTTATCAAAAATTTGAAACTTGCTATTTATCGTAGACTTCACGTGTACAATAATGTAAATGCAGTTTTATAAACGACAATAATTCCATGTTTATAAAATCTTGTACTTTTATTGACAAATTACAATATTGTTTAAATAATGTTCATTACATTGCTGGTCCAGGAAAACTGTAAATACACTTCATAAAGCTTAACTTTAGTATTGCAGTAAATCTAGAGTACATTAACGACGACTGACTCATAAGGCTAAAGCTATTTCACATAATTTCCATAGTGATTTTACTGTTTTATATGCTAAATCAACATACTTTCATTGTGTTAGAAAATGAATTGCTGTTCGTTATATCAGATATAGATAAAAATTATCTATTCATTTAAACACTGATCATGCAAGAAAAAGGAAATAAATTACATTATATTGAAACTTAAATATTGATATCAAAGATAAATCTTTATAATAAGATCAGTCTTTTTTATCCATGATCTTGTAGTGTTCAATGTTAATTCTCAAATGAAACATTTCTTAAGAAATTAATAACATCATAGTCTTTTCTTAAGATACATCTTCAGAAGGCAATTTTTCATCAAATAATCCGATAGTATCTCATTGTCACTTTTTTTTAGAACCAAAACCTGAGAAACCCATTATCGCTGCCATTTCATCTGAAGGTCCACCATTATCTTCATTGATTTCTTCAATTTTTCTTTTCTTGTCTTTCCTCTTCTCCTTTCTGTACTCTTTTATCTTCTCTTCCTGTGGACAATAAAAAATATTTAATTATGAAAAATTAGGTAATAAATAAAGTATACTTGCACAAAAGAAATACAAGGGATAAAACAAACCTCTTCCTTTAATTCTTTTACTCTCTGTTCTAAATCATAATCCTTCTTTTTTTCTTCTAATTTCTTTTTGTTCGTTGCAAAGCGTGCTTTAACCTGCTCTAATGTAGATCGTTCTATTTTCATTGACATACCCAAGTTACGTTGATCTGAAAGATAATTATTTAAGCAATTAATATCTATTGAAGTATACAAAATAACATAATAATGTAATAAAATAAAAAATAATGTATATAGTTGATTACGTTTTGTGCCATTGATATGATCCAAGAAATTAATAGAATCCTTGACTACACAATCGCAAACATTGCAGTAGTACCTGTAAGTATAATACGTTTACAAGAATTACAATTTTTGTATCTTATATTTCATATAAAAGAGACTTTTTAAAATTTATTTTTACCCTCCAGTTTGTGATGATGGTGTATTTTTATTAATAACAACACTTTTTCCTAATTTAGATTCAAGATCAACTTTATAATCCCTTTGTTTGAGCAACTCTCTTTTTACTGCAGGTTGTTTTGGAATTCCCAACTCTTCTTCAGCAATCTCATCCTGAAGACGCTGAAGTGCTATTCTTTCGTACTCTTCTCTGTTCCATTTTCTCCTATGATCATCAGGTCGCTAAAAAAGTTAATTTACTACGTTATTTAAATAAACTGATACCAATAAAGTATAAAAGACATATAAAATTTTAATTATGAATATGAAAAATTGTGCACGTTCGTTGTATATATGCATATAAACACATATAGATATATATTATAAGCTGCATTCATGATTTAATTTCCCTTTTTTTTTTCTCATCATATCGAAATTAATGATTGCATGTTTAAAATATTATTATTTTTACTACTTTAACATGAAAGTTAGGTTAGGAAATACAATAAACGGTGTTTTTAATCGAAATCGTATAAATTACTTTAATGATAGAAATACATTAACGGAATTTACTATGAAACTTCATATGTATGAAGATTATTTAAATCCTTACCATAGACATTTTCAAAATTCTTAATTTCAGTCAAGTCTATTACACATAGAAAAATAAATTATTTTCCTCGCTTCGTTTTACTTGCACTAAGAGCACACTTCTATTGCGCCATTTTGTATTTGAGTATTTGTGAATTTAAATACACCTGCTTTTATGAAAAAATATTTTATAACATTTTATTATACTTAAATTAAAGCGCAAACATGATTAGAAATTCATTAACTTTCTCCCTTGTTATATTTTTTGACTGACAGTACGTTCATTAAAATTAACTTTTTATATATTCTGGAATTAATAGTTTATTGATTAAAATAAAATATTGAATAAAATAAAATAATATTTTAAACAATACTAAATTTTGTATTTATTTTTTTAATAATTTCTCACTCTTTTTTCAATAAGATATTGAAACAATATAGAAATAAATACCAATCGAATATGTTTGTATTTAACCTTAAAATTATATAGAAAAAAATTACTTTAACTGGATTAAAAAATGTCTTATGATTAAAAATGAAGAGATATTTTTCAAAATAATTTTATTTGTAAAAATAAATTTGTATAATACTTTTGTACATCAGTTTTTATAGATATAGCATCTTCCCCAGTGTATAATAAACTTTATCAGCTAAACTCTCTTTGTTTAAAAATTTAAACTATAAGATTTTGTACAATGCAATATGACAAACATTTATATATCTGAACAGTTATACATTTTGTTCTTTTTATTAATGTTAATAGAAATTTGTTAAAGATATTGTATTCTACCATTTTTAAAATACAATTAACAATATAAGTAAATCCCTTGGCACCAATCTATATGATAGATATACGATATGACTTTTTTCACAATAAAAACAATGATTATTTTTAGATTTTATAAATCTAACATTGATATAACATATTAAATAAACTAAAACTTTGTTTCTACAACAATCGTATAACAGTTGTAGATAAAGCTACAATGTAGTTAAGATGTAAACATAAATATGAAGCTTTATATTTCTATTATCACAACAATTCTTTTTCTAATAAAAGTCTGAGTAAAAGTTACTTGTAGAATTTCACATGAGATAGATAAGTATTGTTTAATGATAAACCGTTTCGTTCGTAATTAACATTGTTATTCTAATAAATCTGGTGGTACATTATCTGGTAGTGTAATACCAAGTTTGGTTACCATAAATGATGCTACTTTGCAACCATATTCTAAGCAATATTTTGGTTTCCATCGAGCTAAAACGCCGGCTAGAAAACCAGCTGCCAAAGCATCACCAGCACCTGTAGTGTCTACAACAGGAGCCTTTGGTTTAATTGGTTGTACCTGAATAAAATATAAACGAATTTTCATTCAGTCTTGTAACTTAGGAAATTATTTCTCTCTTTGTAACATACTTGAACAGATTGACTTCTTCCCCAAACAGTAATTGCTGGAGCTGAGCCACCTTGAGTCATAACAAATACTCCCCCATGACGCAACCAATCTTCATTGACTGTATTACAAACATTAACTGTAATTCTCTTTAAACTATTCAGTAAAAATGGTATATCTGTTACATCTTCATATGTAACATTTAATGATTGAGCCAAAGCTTCCATTTCTCTTGCGTTACCAAATACAATATTTGCATACCCCACCATTTCACAAATTGCTATGTGATGATCCTACAAAAGTTGATTTAATATTATTATTAATTTCTATACTATTACCCTAGATGTAATAATTTTGTTGTTTCATTGATTAAAACTACTAGTTAAAATTTAGAATATTTACGTACATTAAATATATATGTTCCATTTAAGTTGAAAGCAATAATTATGTCTCTTTCTTCTGCTTGTTTAACAAGGTCTTTTACTAAAGGAAAACTATGTGTTAGGAAAAATCCTTCAATATAAATTATTTTTATTGTATCCAATGATAAATTGGTTTTCTTAAGGTCATCTAGAGTATATACACCAGCAGCTCCTATATTGGCAACAAGACTACGAGTTGATTCACTTGTCAATGCTATACAATGTCCTGTAGGTAAAGTTGGATGTATTGCATATCTGTAAAAATATGTACATTTAAAAACATATCATAAACAGAATAAACTGAGACAGAAAATTTAAAGCATCTACAAACCTGACATCCACACCTGCTGATCTAACTAAGATCTCCAACATTTTCCCCCCTGAATCATTTCCAAGTCCTCCACAATATATAGTATATTGATTTTGATGAGTTTCATCACAAAGCCATTGTAAAACTCTCATTGAATTTTGTGCTGATCCTCCAGCATTGAATCTATGTCGTGATCTATTTCATATATATCATTAATGACATTTAAATTGTTAGTAATGTAATTGTGTTGTTTTCTTTTATAGTAATGATACTAATAAACAAACAATATTGATTGAATTTAAAAAATTTGTAAATAAATATTAAAGTAACAATGTTTGCACTGTATATCTTTTACACAAACAAATCAATTACATTCATATTTTGATTTTTAAACCACAGGAAAAAATAAATACTTGTATAAAATATACACAATGTGAACATATAACATGTATTAACAAATATACTTATTAACTCTAGTGGTAAATCCGCCAGCAACTCCTGCATTTTTTCAACAGGAAGTTCTATTTCTCCATCCGTAGGAAGATTGAACTTTTTCAACAAATCATCATTTTTTATTGTTACATAAACATCCAGCAAAGGATTGCCAAAAGCTATAATAGCTGGACAATCCAGTTTTGCAATAGATTTTCTTAATGAAACTTTTTCAACCATTTTTTATAAATATACTACAGGGCTACATTTATAAATAAATCATTTATAATTAACCTATAACATATTTATGTATGTTATAATTATAAATATTCGACATGCACTTTGCAGTTTTTAAAAACAATAATATTTGAAACCAACTGTAATATGTTTATGATAAGAAGTACAACTAATAGTTACATTATTTATCTAAAAGTACTTTAAGTAAATTAAAAATATTTTCTTAATATTCACTTCATATAATATAAAAGTTCTCAAATGTTTTTTTTTATAAAAATATTCATGTTTTTATGAATAATATGTAATCGCGGAAAAAATCAATTACGTGTGATATGCTTTATATATTTTTGCTCTACTTAAGATCCACGTAAAGATTACTACCCTTCAAAATACCTTTAAATATATAATTATGCTTCCTGCTTTTTATTAAATAAATAATCAAAATCTTTATTCGTGTTATAATCATATACGTATAGTCAAATTATTGATACCTAAGTAAAGAAATATATAAATTTCACATACTATTCAATTTTAATATGAATCGAGTCTAAATATTTAATTTTCGTCCAATTTTAATGTATTATGTATTATTGTGATATAATTAAATCGTATAGCTATAAAAATTAATGATTTTTACACTATTTATTTTTTATAATAATTAAATGTTTTCATAAAAATATCTAGTGACAATTTATTGTACATGTGGGTTAACATTAAGGATATAAGATGGATACGAGCATTGTGATTTAAACGTACAATGTGCGCGTGGTACACGTTTTCGAATAAAATTTAGACAAGAGAGAAGCATTTTATCCTCAAAATGGTTCGAAAAAAGATAGATAATCGTGTTCGTGTTTTAATTGAAAATGGTGTTGTTACGGGACATAGAACAATGTTTATTGTTATTGGTGAAAAAGCACGAGATCAGGTTAGTATACATTAAATTTGTAAATAATAAATATATAAGTGTATAATTAAATTTCTGTTATATATTTATGTTAATTTATATGTGTTAATAAATTTTAAAAATTTTAAAATTACAATTTTTTATTAGATTGTTTTACTACATCATATGTTATCAAAGACTATTGTAAAAGCTAGACCTTCCGTTCTTTGGTGTTATAAGAAAGATTTAGGCTTTAGTAGTCATAGAAAGAAGCGAATGAAATCCATACAAAAGAAAGTTAGATCAGGAAAATTGGATGTGAATGAAGATGACCCATTTGAATTATTTGTTGTTTCTACTAATATACGATATTGTTATTATCATGAAACACATAAAATATTGGGGAACACATATGGCATGTGTGTTTTACAAGTAAGATTTCCATTTATTTAAGTTGGACATAAATGATCACTTTAACAGAAAATAATTTTTCTTAGGATTTTGAAGCAATTACACCAAATTTATTAGCACGAACTATTGAAACTATTGAAGGAGGAGGACTTATAGTATTTCTTTTACAATCAATAAACTCCTTAAAACAATTATATACCATGAATATGGATGTGCATAAAAGATTTCGTACAGAAGCACATAAAGTATGTCATTAATTTTTATTTTATTAGTTTATAAATAGATTTGTTTAATTTGAACAATAGTTTTAAGTAACTTGTAAACTAATAACATTTTAACTAACTTAAATAATTTCTTAATATTTTTTATCTAATTCTAGGATGTTGTTGGTCGATTTAATGAAAGATTTTTATTATCTCTTGCTTCATGTAAAAGATGTTTAGTTGTTGATGATCAATTGAATGTATTGCCATTATCATCACACAATTTAAAGATTGAATCCATAGAAAAACCAACCTCTTCTGAAAATTTATCAGAATTAGATGCATTGAAAGAAAGTTTAAAAGATACACAACCTATTTCTTCTCTTGTTAATTGTTGCAAGACAGTTGATCAGGTTTAATACATAAAATAAATAAATATGTATATTTTGGTAAAATATATGATATATAAGATATATTAATATTTTTAGGCAAAAGCACTTCTTAAATTTATTGAATGCATATCAGAAAAAACATTGAGATCCACTGTTTCCTTAACTGCAGCCAGAGGTCGTGGAAAATCTGCAGCATTAGGTTTAGCTGTTGCTGGTGCCATAACATTTGGTTATTCAAACATCTACATTTCAAGTCCAAGTCCAGAAAATTTGAATACGCTATTTGAATTCGTTTTTAAAGGTAAATATTAAAAGGTAATGTCATATTTCAATATAGTAAAATTTTATTTTATATTTTTAGGATTTGATGCATTAGGATATCAAGAACATCTTGATTATGGACTTGTACAATCTACAAATCCTGAATTTAATAAAGCTACTGTACGTGTAAATGTCTTTCGAGATCACAGGCAAACAATTCAGGTATACTTTTGATATATAAGATCAATTTGTCAAAATAATAATGTAAATATAATTAACAAGAAATCTATTTTTCTTAGTACATTCATCCTACTGATGCCCACAAATTAAGTCAAGCTGAATTACTTGTAATTGATGAAGCTGCAGCAATACCTCTCCCCTATGTGAAAGCTATGCTTGGTCCTTATTTAATATTTCTTGCATCAACTATTAATGGGTAATTATATCTTATGTTTCAATTATCTTTTTAATCATGGTTTAATATTTATATACAACTTATACTTATATATTTTTAATAGATATGAAGGAACAGGTAGATCTTTATCATTAAAACTATTACAACAACTAAGAAGTCAAACTATAGGCTCAAATAGTCACGAGAAACAACAAAATGAAAAGATTATTATTGGGAGGCAGTTACATGAACTGACTTTAGAGGAATCTATTCGTTATAAACCAGGAGATTCTGTTGAGCAATGGCTGTGCGATTTATTATGTTTAAATGCTACAACAAATACACCTATATTATCTGGATGCCCACCTCCTGATATGTGTCAGTTATATTACATAAATAGGTAATTAAGTTTTCAACAATAATTATTATTTTGTATAATGTTTAGTGTTTCATATTATTACATTCTTTTTTTAGAGATACCTTATTTTCTTATCACAAAGCATCTGAATTATTTTTGCAAAGATTAGTAGCTCTTTATGTCGCCTCGCACTATAAGGTAAATATATTATTTCATACCTTTAAAATTTGAAAAGACACAGAATTTCTAATAATGTTTCAGAATAGTCCAAATGATTTACAAATGATGTCTGATGCGCCAGCACATCATTTATTTTGTCTTTTGGGTCCAATAGATTCAAACAAGAAAACATTACCTGAGGTATTAGTGGTTATTCAAGTGAGTAATATAATATAATATGTATATAATGTAACTTCAATACTTCTGGTAGTTCTAATATTTCTATAATGTGTAGATTTGCTTAGAAGGTGAAGTAAGTAAAAATACTATAAATGATGGACTAGTTCGAGGGCGTAGAGCAGCTGGTGATCTTATACCATGGACTATTGCGCAACAATATCAAGATCAAGATTTTCCGGCGTTGGCTGGAGCACGTATTGTCCGCATTGCAACACATCCTGAATATCAGGGAGTAAGTGTATATCATTATATAAATCAATGAAAGTAATTTGTACTCAATAAATATTTTGATATAGATGGGATATGGTGCTAGAGCACTGGAATTATTGAAACAATATTACGAAATGAAAATACTGAATATTAACGAAACACTGCCAGAAACATGCACAACACAAATATCAAAAGTTCAAGATGAAGAAGTGAATTTGTTAGAAGAAAGATTAGGTAACTGCATAAATTTATTGTACTATATACTAAACATTATATAATTCTAATTTATCCTATTAATTTTATATTAATTATCTTTTAGAACCTCGAGCTTCTCTGCCACCACTTCTTTTAAAACTAAGCGAAAGACGCCCAGAAAGTTTGGATTATATTGGAGTGTCTTTTGGGGTTACTGAACCCCTCTTAAAATTTTGGAAACGAGCTAGTTTTGTACCAGTATATTTAAGGTTAGCATTAATGTTTATTAATATTATTACATCATATATTAAACAAAAGTAAATATTTATTTTTTCTTTCTTTAGGCAAACAACAAATGATATTACAGGTGAACATTCATGTATTATGTTGTACAAAATAAATTCTGAACAAGATGTTAAGTGGCTACAAGCATACTGGAATGACTTTCGTAAACGATTTATAAATCTGTTGTCTATATCATTTAACATGTATTCGTCCTCATTGGCTTTAAGTATATTGATTAACAAATCGGTTTCATCAGAGATTACAAGTTAGTGCATTTCTAATGATATATTTGCCTTGATGTTTATATTTGTCTCTATAATATATATAATTACTTTCTTTAGCATTGACGAAAGATATATTAGATATTTATTTTACATCTTACGATCTAAAACGTTTAACCATGTATGGTAATAATATGGCAGACTATCATTTAATAATGGATTTATTGCCATCATTAGCACGTACATACTTTCTAAACATGATGGGTGATACTAATTTATCGGCAGTGCAATCGGTATTTATGATGTTTATAATGTCTCTAATAACATTGAAATAATTGTATTTAAATATAACTTTTTATGATATTTATTAATGTTCCTATTTTTATTCTTAGGCAATTTTATTAGGATTAGGCTTGCAACACAAAACTGTTGATAAATTAGCAGAAGAATTAGATTTACCACCAACACAGCTACTTGGTTTATTCAATCGTACAATACGTAAATTTGTACAATGCCTTAATAGAATAGCAGAGAATTTTATTGAAACCACCATGATGAAAATGGAAACTGATAATGAAAAAGTCCAATTGAATCCCATCAATGGACAAAGTTTGTACGATGAATTAGAATCTGCAGCTAAGGTTTGATTATTTTCTTTACAATATCAAATATATTAAATATTTTTTAATATATCTATAATAAAATTTATTATATTATATAAATTTAATTTTAGGAACTAAAAGCAAAACAAAAAGCTGAATTGGAAAAATTGAAAAGAGAAGACTTAGAACAATATGCAATTAAAGGGACAGAAACTGATTGGAATGATGCACTTTCAGGAAAGAAAAGTAAGCATCTTATATCTATAAAAAGTGGAGAGAAGAGAGGAGGAGAAGATGATAATGCTTCAGAAATTCCGAAGAAACAATTTAAGAAAAAAAAACGTTCTTTCAAAACTTAATTGGTGTAAATATATAACCTATAAAATTTAATAAATGATTATATATCATAATATTCATTTATCCTTGCTCTATTTTAATAAAAGATATATTTTGATATAAAAGAAGATAGTTAACAAATACCTACATTACGGATTAAACTACAAAATTTTAATCAAAAAAATTATTATCTACTATATATTTTACACATTGGCAAATTAAATTTCTCTCATGTTGAATAGATCTTGAAAGTAA